GTCGAGTCAAAGTTTGTTCGGAAATTGTGTTCGTGGGTCGAGTTGTTCGTGACTCGAGGTACCACTGTATACGACACATCATCCGCAAGCAATGACATGTAACAAGAAAAATTCCAAAATATTCAGCTCCGCCAAAATCAATGTGACAACTCTACAACAGCTTAAAAACTTTTACTGTAATTCTAACATTGAATAAGAACGGTGTATAAAAATGAAACGCTCATAAGCAAAACTGAGATCACCAAAAATCTTCGAATTACTTGGCACCAATGGCTTTACAGATAATCGGAGTACAGCAACTCCTCTTTTAAATGCCCTTATGACAGTCAATTTCAAGACGTCAGTCGATCATGCGATGCTGCTGTTGCTTAAATACAAATAGTTTTATACAGTAGTAAATACTTTATAACAAAGCAAAATGATACTCTCCTATTAACAAGTCCGAGAAACTGAACGAAAAATCAATCCAAAAAGGAATAATTTCATTATTTCCAATGGAGTCAGCAACCCTCAATATCAGCTAAAAGTTTGAATGACTTTGATACAGTTACTGATATTACTAATATAGTTATCGGTTACAGCTCATGTAAGGTTCTAATCAATAAGAATCAAACGACTTTGCCATCCTGACCCTCGTGCTCTATATTCATTGTCAAACTTTCTCTTGATATCACAAAAGAACTAAAATTTTGTTCATGGATAGATTTATGGCAAATGGACAAAACCTGTAAGTGCTCTGATCAATCAACCAGACCAAATTGAGACTTGTCGATTCGCTTCTGGCCTTCGGTCAGATTTGACCGTCGATGAGGCAGGTCGTAATTTTAGTAGAACTACATCGTATAACATTACAGACGAGGATTACAATTTCATAAAATTTTGAGCCATCAAACAGGTCTTAAAGCAACAGGGAATTCATCAGTCATTCTTCAAAATAATGCAACAGTTCGTTACTGGAATTTTGGTAAGTAAAGACAGAATGGCCAGTGTCAGAATAAAAATAGTCTCAAAAAGCTGTACTACTGTTGCAGCTATTTGCTAGCGGGAAGAAAAAATGAGCTGAATGAGTAACGTTCTCCACAGTACGAGAATCGCACAACCTCTGGAGAAAAGCGGCATGAGTTACGCACCATTCCATTTGTCCTTTGATAGGTAGAGGTGTTATTATCCAAAAATGGAGTCTATGTTACGGGACACTGAAAATAAATAGCTAAGCGGTCTAAGATGCGGAAATTGGTCTATGGAAATCGAACATTCTACTGGACCGAGGCAGCTATTACCTAGCATTTTATTCACGTTTTAGCAATATTCATCTTGTGGTTAAAGTTGAGCGCAGATTTCTTAATTAGAAAAAACGCTACTGTGCGATCACTAGTGGTTCAAAGCTGTCAAATCATTAACCGACAAATGATTTCGATCTCAACCTTAGGCTTTGAATATCTGTGACAAATGATAAAATCACAGGTTTGCAACAACCCAACGTACCACGTTAAAAATAGGCAGTGAAAAGTTTTCTCTAAAGGCATGTTCGAATAAAGTGCTATATCAATCCAGACATTGATTCATATCATAAAAAAGCAGAAATTCTGACTCACAATGTAGATTAAAACTTGATTATCAAAAAAATAAATTATCAAGCGAATTATTAAAACTCTATAAATAATTACCATAAAATTTGCCGAAGTTGCAGCAAATCGCATTTTGCAACTGCAACATGTTGCCCATGAACGTGATCTTGACTGGCACTCTGACATTCGAAACGCTATGCATTAACTGAAATAGTTGCGAGGAGACTACTTTCTTCGAATATAAAATCTCCATGGTGTTGCCATATTTCAGTAATCGTTTAGTAAATCTATAAAACACACAACGGTGAGGCTACACTTGATAACGTTCATTAAAGACAGAACTGGTCTATCAACATAAAATGATCGACTGTGCGAACCTCTGCAAAGTGGAAGGACGAAAGATGCCGCCTATAAAAAGATCATGATTAATCTTGGACGATTAACAACGCTTAATCCAGTCTTGTATGAGAGAGTGAGCTTGTGTACTGTGGTTGTTGCGATTGTGGTGCGTCTAATCCTCAGATGATGACTAATCTAAACGCGGTGAAGGAATGGAACATAAGCCTAATAGATTCCTATATAAAAATGTCATATGACTAGTAGCTGGATTCAGTCAGCATCTTGATCAGGACTTTGCAAGCAGCTATAAATCGTCTGGACAATCTGAGTCTTAAGTCGTCGATGTGATATCAAAATTTCCCGCATCACATTGTTTAAAACAGAAGCAGAATATGAATGCATTTTAGTTGCCTGAATAAATAGATGACGATAATCTGAAAGCAGAGATTCAAAGGCAAAATTTAGTTGAGAATGCAGTGTTCAAAGGTATCCCAAAAAGAGCAAGAGAAACGTTTCTGGTACACTTTAAATAGAAAAAAGGGGAAAATTTTATTACGCCGTATTCATTTACCTGCATGCATCATTGATTTTTTCTGACGTATTGTTCATGGTTTGAAGGTTTTCCATTATTCGAGACTCACAATTTAAATGTAGATTTTCCAAATCTTCCATAAATTTCACTTTGCAGTTATTAATGAACTCTATGCTCTGCGACGCGGCGTCTTCGATCGAATGTCGAGCATCGTCCACGTTCTTCTGCAACTGTTTTAAGCTGTTCTCCAACTCACGATTGGCAGAATCACAGCAACGCACCTAAATAAACACAAAGGGAAGCTACCGCGCGAAAACGGCCACAATTGAAGTAATTAAACTTGTGGATGCCCACATTTATTAGTATAAGCATAGTTTTAATTTACATAAGCTGTTAGCATTTCCATCGCTCAAAGCAAAACAATTCATATTAACTAAAATCTTTTTAAATTTAGGTTAACGGAGTCACACTATCATGCTTCAGTGTACTTAGCAAAAAACTTAAAACAAATCTATGATCTGTCACGAAGCGAAACGATATAGCGATGAATGATTAACTGGTCAAGGGAAACTAGAAGAATAAAGAGTAATATGAAACTCTAATGCAATCAAGCCATTACGGTGACAAATGTATCAATACAACTTAGGCACACTTAAGTAATGCGTCGAACAGCTTCAGGTATCTGTGAATGGGCGAGAAACATGAGATTACACACGGGTGAGTTTCGTTCGAGAAGAATCGATAACGCTTCTCATTCAGAAAAACAAGATTCCAGAGACATTCATGGACGTCAATGCGTCGTGCAGTTTAAGATATCTTTTGGCAAAGCGCAAAAGGATGCAAAGAAATATAAAAGATACATATTCTACTGTTATATGATGAAGGTAAGATTCTGATACAAACATATGACAGCAGGATTTCAATTAACAAAGTGAAATGCGCAGATTTTTAAAAAAAATTAGCCATGCATTCCAGTAATCACTACTACTATGACAAAAAGGAAGCACTTGTGATTCATAAGAACTAAACTTTAAAAATAAGGAAATTTACATTAAGAACATCCTCGTTTATACAACAGTCAGTTAAATCAACAGTGCAAAATAAATGACCAAATAATATTTACCTTTTCCAATCCCTTCTTGATAAAGCCCATGAGTTGTTCACGGACTTTTTCATCCAGAAATGTGCTGAATTTCTCATGTTTATGGTTTGGAGGCTTATGATTTGCCATTGCACATTCGTTGCATACCGGAATCTAAAATAATCATAGCTCAAAATACAACAGATTTATTAGTTGTATGAAAATAACAACAAAAAGCAACTAGCTGCATTTAAACAGAAAATAACAAGTACACGCAGGAAATGCTGCTTCACTTTATATATTTCAATTAACGTTCCTGAAAATCTACAAAAATACACAGTGAGAAATTTAGAGCATCCTACAGCAGACATCTCACTCCCTGACTTTAAAATAATTTTTTAACGGGCTGAATGTCGACGTTTAAATTCAACGGTTTGATGCGAACCACTAAGGTTCAATTTTTAAAATAATTTTATTTATACCGCCAACATTTGGGCTACAAAACAAACGTACGTTAACGTCATTTAAGTATTAATTTATTAATTGCGAAAGTTTTAAAAAGAATTTTAAACACTGCCATCACATAACTCCGTGAAGACTAGATTTCATGGAGTACTGCACCGCTGTTTTGCTCCCAGTTTCCGGCAAAGGCTTCAGGGCATTTCAGAATCTCAGTTTTTAGTTCCTAGAGGCAACTAGAAGCAATGCGATGCAATACGCTATGAAATGTAGATATTGAAGAGGTTATGCGCTATTTGACAAATTCCAGAAAATAAACATTCTTTAATGTTTATGCAGTATCATGAATAACATGAATAAACAGAGGTATATTTACAAATTTACCTGTTCCGAATACACCGTGAAGGTTAAAGAAAAGAACATTCAGCTAATTAATCATCAATGTAAAAAATTTCATTTCAATTAATTTCCGAAGGTCCGCATTACCTACAAAATTTTGTTTGATTAATTTCACTGTTTTTCAACTTTCAAAGCCAAACAAAATAATTAGTAAACCACAAACTTGGCATGTAGAGCAAAAATATCGCATGGTTTCAGATGGGTGAACGAGGCAATTGACCGGTTTGTGAATGAGCAATGTGTCATCAGTGTTCTTGATCTTATCGAACCCCAGGACCTTGAAGAAAAAAGACAATTTTTAGTGCAACAGCAACAATAACTTCAGCACACAAAGATACCGTATGGTTTTCGAAAAATCTCATGAAATAATGCGCTTGGACACAATTTAGGCACAGAAAGTTGGCACAGTCTACACACCGAGCCACTGCCTTGTCCTTCGTTTTACAGGACTCGCACTCAAGTGGGAAAAGCTCCATCGCATTCGCGTTTTGCAAGTTGATCGTCACAAAGTCAGGTGTCAGCAACTGCACCCACCGTAAATCATTGCCGATGTTACTGTCCTAAAGTACTAGTAATAAATAAAGATAAATATGACATAAATCTGGTACACAGAACTTTATAAATTCTATGCATACTGAGAAAATTAATGAACATACCCTAACTTAAGAAACGAGAGAACACGAA